TTTACACTTAGTTCTTTATGCAATAGTTAACATACAATTATTTAATAATTAAGTTTCAATTTATAATTAAATTATTTGATAAAACAAATATATCTATTATTATGAATAGAAATTTAAATTTTAAATATAAAATGCAATAATGAATTACTTAGAATAATTTTAATGTATGAAAAAATAAATAATGATTAAAAATGAAATAATGATTAAATATATAATGCTTAAAAATAATTATTTATTATAAATTTGTAAAAAAAGTTGAATTCTGTAATAAACAATTGATATTTTTCACTTTACCACCTCTTTGCATCTACTATAGATTTCATAAACTCATATCTATTTCTGAAAGCTTTCTTGCTACTCTCAAATAAATACATTTTAATATTTTTAATTAAACATTATTTTTACATTAAAAACTTTTAATGTTACTATAAAAATTTGGTAAAAATGAAAATTAGGGGACCACCCTCCAATGGCCTTGACTTTGATATATGTTGTCGAGATCATGACTCTGAGTAATTTTCAAAAAGTGATTTTATTCATCGGACGTCTTTCCTTAAAAAGTTATAATCATAAAAAGTTAATTAATATTAGAAGGACAATAAGATATAGTCAAGCATATGAAATAAAAACTGCATAAGTTGGGCGGTCTCACGGACTTCAATGACATTAACATATTGTCAAGGTCATCATTCTGAGTAACAATCAAAAGATTCTAGCCATCGCTTGACGTATACATTTAAGTTCAACTTTGCGTAGAAAGTTATAAACCTATGTGGAACCCTGTTTTGTGTCAAAAAGTGTATGCGTGGAATCAGTATGTTCCGTCTCCCCTATGAGGGGGCTCTACTGAAAGGAATAACCTAACCAACCCTTATTACAGTGATAAGTCCAATCTATATTCGAATCTATATGTTGATACACTAATAAAAATTAAATTTCAAACCATATAAAAAAAAATATATAAATTTGAATACCAATCGGTACTACCGATCTGTGAAAAATGTCGATAGAAATAAACAACAGTTACGATTCAATGTTGAAGGACATATTTGTTATTGTACGCTTACAGATACCCTGTTTACAAATATCAACGATTTTCACAGATCAATAGTGTTACGATCACCATCAGTATCGTACCGATATCACCATCATACCGACAATATATATTAGCCAGGCACTTAAAGAATTTTAATACGTGTAAAATAATTACATGTTGTAACATGCATTTGCATGAATTTATTAATATGACGTACAATTTTGATTGTTTGTGGAATTTTCTATATGAGAAGAAAGTTGTACGGAGTGAAGTGACATGTCCGATTATATGCTTGATTATATTGTCCTTCTAATATTAATTAATAATAATAATTATATGCTTGATATTTATATGCTTGATTATATTGTCCTTCTAATATTAATTAATAATATTAATTAATATTAATTAACTTTTTGTGCTTATAACTTTTTAACGAAGGACGTCCGACGGATAAAACTTTTTGAAGGTCACTCAAAATCATAAACTTGACAACATATGTTAAGGTCAAGGCTATTGAAGGGTGGTCCCCTAATCTTCATTTTTACTTAAAATTTAATGTTAGTATTAGATTGCGGAATTATATTTTGTCAAAATTTATTTATATAAAAGAAACGATCAGAAATAGAAATATCTGTTTAATAATACTAAAGATAATAATAATAACATTAAGAGCACAATAATAATAATATAAAGAGTACAAACGAAGTATTAAATTTATAAGTTTGGAATGGTAAAAAAATTAATAATATATATATGTATACAGGGTGTCCTAAAACTCCCGCATTTGGAGTATACTACGTGATTTTTTTATGCTAAAAGAAACTTTTTCCTTTAGAAAAATTGCGTGTGAGTAATTTTTACAGTGGATTAAAAGTGACGAACGACGATGAGCGCGTATGTGCGTGTATGTGCGTAGCGGTCAGGGCCGGCGCGCATTCCTCAGGCCGACGCATGAGATTTAATCTTTGACGATTTCATGTACTGTATTAATTAAAATATAATACAAGTTAACAAAATAAGTATTATTTTCATCCTTTACATAATGATTTAATAAAAGAATTGTCTGATTTCGTAGCATTATCTGGAAATAAAAATAAATGTAAATTGTATGGTATACGAACTAAACATTCTATTATTTTAATTATTTTTTTTATTGTCGTATGTGCAATTGCATATGACAATAAAAAAAATATTGAATTTAAATATTTATTAATTACATGAGTACGTAATCACGAAAAGTAAAAAAATTGATTTTTTCATAATAGTCTAAATAATTCGTTAAATTCAATATTTTTTATATTGTTATATGCAATTGCACAGTAATTAAAATAATAGAATGTTCAGTTCATATACCATATTATTTATATTTATTTTTATTTCGAGATAATGCTACGAAATCAGATAATTTTTTAATTAAATTGTTAAAGGATGAAAACAATATTTATTTTGTTATCATATTTCATCATATTTTAAACAATATAGTGCGTGAAGTCGTCAAAGATTAGGTACCAGGCCGCGCCGGCTTGAAGATTACTCGTCGCACGCAATTTTGCTAAAGGAAAAAGTTGTTTTTTTTAACATAAAGAATCACGTAGTATACTCCAAATGCGGGAGTTTTGAAACACTCTGTATATATACATATTATTTAAAATAACAGTAATTATATCCAAATATTAAATAATATTTAAATAATATACAAATTTCCCCAAACTCACAGAAATTTACATCTCGCAGTATACAAGACTCCGAAAAATTGAAAATTCTTTCCACCACCATTAGTTATCCAACGTCATAAATTTTTCACCAACAAGTTCAATGCGCAACTTTAATGCGAAGCATTCTAGTTTGCATTATTTCTTGTTGTATGCATGCTTATTACATGTTAATATTTTGATGTAGATATGTAGCATATGAGTGTATATGTATATGAATGTAAATTAATATCGAATCTTTTCACCAAAAAATTTTAGTTCAAAGAGGAAACCATCCCACCATAAAATAAAACAGTAGTTTGAAAATGCATTAAAAAGATATTACAAAATAGTATGAAATAATTTTAATAAAATAATTTTGTTATGCAATTAAATAAGTATTCAAGTGAATAATTAATTTTTTACAAAATTTACAAGTAATGTAAAATGATGATGCATGATAATTTATTATGTCATTGGCATTACCCAGCGTCAAGCGTTTGCCAAAGCCAAGTTTCAGGGAAATTCTTGCGAACTTTGATCTTCTCGGGCGGTAATGCAGCAGCCTGGCCTGAGAATGCTGCAGGGGATGCATACATCACGTCCTCGAAACTAGATCTGTAGTATACTACACACATACAAGCTCGGTTAAAAATTATATATCCAGTCTGACAGAGATTGGCTCAACGATCAATATTGATTAAAAGAATAAATCAAGAATAAAGATGTTAGTCTCATGCTGTATTACAAGTAAATTGGTACATGGAACGGCATTCATAATTAATTTTTATATTTAATTCTTAAATATGATCTCAAGATGCTATACAACTCTTTTATTGACTGAGCGAGATTTTAAGACCATCTAAGGCTCGGCTTGAAATAATCTTAAATAATCTTAAATGTAAGAATTGATTATGAATAGCACCCATAGTTATCTGATGTATCGTATATTCTACAAAACGCAATTTAAAAATATTTTATAACAGATGTGTGCGTTAGTCTTTCACTAAGTATAGTATATTTTAAATTATGCATCTTGATTATACTTACGTATAGGGAAGTTCTCATGGACGTATCCGTTTGTGAGGATTATTAAACCAGTTTTCTGTCAGATACATTCGTTATTTTAATTTAATTACTAAAAATTGAAAGAATACAAAACTAAATGTCATGAAAAATTTTTACTTGAAATACGTCATCCGCTGTTCCTGAACCGGGTCTCCAAAGAGGACGACCGAAAAATGCATCTGTATGCGGTGATACTTCTGCTTTATCATATGACTGTAATTCTTTGTACACTTGTTCCTATGTGTAATTAACGAGTACAATAAGAATAAAGTAAACATGAAATCATATATAAAAATTTACGGATATTTATAATATGTAGTGTATATTACGTACATAAGAAATATCATTTCCGGATTTCAACAAGAGGGATCTCTGATCAACACCCAATAATCCAACGAAAGAATTTGGTTTCGTGGATATCACAAGATTAACACTTTCCCCAGGCATAACTTCGCCAAGTGTTATTTTAATATCAACCTATAAATATGAGATATAATATTACAATATTATTTACATTTACATGTTCTCTGATACAGACTAGTATGATTTAGACATTTTAGAACTGTTGTAATAACTTACGTGATTTTGAAGTATTCCTGACAATTCAACATCTAATGAGTCTGCTATTACTTCTCCATCTGTTCGTATGTAATATATAATTACGTGCGCAGTAGGTGTCATGACGTATGTCGCTAAAAATCTGAAACGTATTTTTGTCATGTAGAATATTAATTTTAAGATAAAAATCAAACAAGAATTTTGAAAGGTTTTGAAGATCTAGTTATCAAAGTTGAGTGTAAAGTTTGAAAATCACAAATTATTTTTTCTATAATCCGATTCAAAAAATCTGAGCAATTTAAGATTCGTCTAGAAAATTCTCTTCTAAACTTTGATATCAGGAGACACTCAGGAGATAATATCTCCGATACCAAGTCAACCGAATACTACCATGTGAGTTGGCGAGATGCGAGCATCCGAAATTGTCGGATCTAATAACGGCTAAACCTAACGGATCAACTTCAAGTAGGCTTGATCGATAGCTTGAGTTCGACTTGCATAATAAAAGTATTTTTATTTTCTACTACGTGCCTCACTAGCGGAGATCTTTGCTACGCAAAGATTTGGAAATTTTTACTTTAAGAAACGTCATTATCGTTGTTCTCATCTACGGTTGCAATTTCTATCACGGAGGCGCCACTGTCCAATGTACACGCACCGGCGGAAATGATGCTGTGTGCTCGGCGCGCGGCCGCATATGCACATGAAGCGCGTAGGAAATCGCGGAGCGGAGGGAAAAAATAGTGGGGGCAATTTTTTTTTATTGCATCCTTGATGCAAGACGCGCGATCGAGAGAGAAAGCATAATCGGACGTGTACCGAATTTCGATGTCCCATTTTTGTCTCACATACTTGACGCTAGGCGAGTGAGAGATCGCGGTGTCTCTATACGTCGCGCTTTTTTCTTTCTTTCCCTCTCGTTCTGATTAATTATTGATTATTCAATGATTATTTATTTATTTAATTGATTATTTAAATATGATTATTAATTATTTAATTATCGCGTAATAATTCTTTTATTATATATTTTTAAAAAAGTTACGTGTAAAATTACAATTATCATTGCGGTTTTGGACATTGAATGTCTTACAGCTATTTCAAGCAGCCGATATTAAAAATTATTTTAAAAAATAATGAATTCACGAAACTCTATTAAAAAATAAGAAAGATTATATTCAATAATAATAAAAAGTTATTATTTAAATAAAAAAGTAAAAATCAAAATAAATATTTTTGAAATAAATATTATGTTGTAAATTTAAAATTTGAATTTGCAATACTGTAATTATATAAAGTATTATTTCTATATGTAAAAGTATTATTTCACGTTACATTATAATATAAAAATGTCAAGATGCGCTTTTCAAATATAGAAAGATGATTAATACTACAAAATATCTGATATCACTATAAAATTACTTTTTTACAAAAAGGTAAAAAAAGGGTGTCAAGTATAGTAAGATCCTATTTAAACCTAAATGTTATATCACAATCTTATTAAATTCAAATAGTATTTAATATTCAACTCTAATGTGTATGTCATTTATATAAAAGATTTGATATCAAACATGTGGCGCCAAGTTATAGTCTTATTATCTCGAAAGTTAAATGTATAATTGCTTTTAAAAAATGTAAATCAATCAATGATTGATATCTTTGTATTCCCATTAAAATCTTTTTATTCTAATTTGTATTCTCGATTGAAGTCTTCTTTAAATTACTTAAAAAGTACCGTAGTATACTCATTGAATCTGTATTGTATTTGTAATTACTTTACTTATTTTAAAACCCAAGTGATAGTAGCTTTAATTCTTTTTTCTAAAATTATGATATAAAATTGCGTTTAACCTAATTTAATTCAAATGATGTATCTAACATAAGTGATAGTAGCTTTCATTTTATCTCAATATATGTATACATAATATTCAGGCATATCCTTTTGTAAAGAATTTTTTAAATACATGTATATTTGAATCGAATAGAAAATTTAATTATAAAGAATTAAAGAGGTAATAGTACAAAATGAAAAAGAAAAAAATTTAATTTAAATAAAAAAATTTTTATGTAAAATGAATATTATGTATACATATATTGAGATAAAATGAAAGCTACTATCACTTATGTTAGATACATATCATTTGAGTTAAATTAGGTTAAACGCAATTTTATGATATCATAATTTTGAAAAAGAATTAAAGCTACTATCACTTGGATTTTAGAATAAGAAGACTTCAATGAGAGTACAAAGATACGAATCATTGATTGATTTACATTTTTTAAAAACAATTGTACATTTAACTTTCGAGATAATAAGACTATAATTTGGCGCCATATGTGATATCAAATCAACATTTGCTATCAAACAACATGGCACAACATTTGATATCAAATCTTTTATATAAATGACATACACACATTAGGATTGAATATTAGATACTATTTGAATTTAATAAGATTGTGATATAACACTTAGATTTAAATAAGATCTTATTATACTTAACATCCTTTTTTTATCTTTTTGTAAAAAGGTAATTTTATAGTGATATCAGATAAATATTTACCTGAACGATGTCGTGTATTTGTCTTGCACATAGATCGATCCTGCATCTAAGATATTACCGCGGCCAAGTACCTCATAACTTACATATTTCAACGGAGTGGTGGAATTTACTTCAATTTCAATATAATTATTCACCTTGCAAATTAAATAATTATGGTAAGATTTTTTATCTCTGAGAAAATTTGAGCATAATAATAATGAATGAAAAATATACCATCGGTTTTTCCGTTTTCAGAATTGCCTGGATGTATTCATTGCTTAGGGACGTAGCTTGATTAGTCGAGGGAAACCATTCGTGAAGATTCAAATATTGTGCCTGCGTATATATATATACACAAACAATCAGATATCACGTATTTGTAAGACACACAAGAAGATCTGATTAATAATTTTACCTCTATATTTAAAGGAAAAGAGATGTTATCCTTTGCCTTAGGTGGATAAAAATCTAGTTGCACCATACCATGTTCGTCTAATTTCCTCGTAATATTTGAATACGCCGATTGATTGTATGTGTATCCATATGCAATCAGAACATCATTTTTGATATCTTGTACTGGCGATCCGTCATGATATGTTAATTTTAGCTGCAAAAAGTATGTATGTAATAGAATTACAAGTTATACTGGATAACAAATTATAACTCAAATGTTCAAATTTGCCTGTCTAATATCATAATAAAACTTACGAAAGCAGTATATTTTAATCCCGGTTTAAAATATTCCGATGTTCTTATGAGTTCCATCGTATATTTGTGTTTATGTAGCGTTATTTGTATCGAAGTATTTTGTCTTCTGGTAGTTAATTCCTCTTCCACTACCACATCAATCATTACGGGTCTTTCATATTCGTCAGTCAGTCTAACATATGCGTATAATACAATATATTATAATATATATAAAATATCTCATGATTTAAAATTTAAAATATCAAAAGAATAATATAACTTTACAATTTTTTACTCCAAACAGAAAACTTTTTACTACTATAATATTTTGAGAAGCAAAAAAGAATTTAAGACATTCTATATAATATTATACATGCTTGTAATATCATTAAATTATACATGCTTGTAATACCATTAAATTTACCTTAATTCAGACAATATATCGAAATCGACCGTAACTTTCCCATTAATCGGTACTACTTTTCTCACAGGTTGTTGGAAAATCGGTTGAATAACGCCAGAAAAAATGTCTGGATAAACTGTTATCGTAGCTTCACCTTTTACTGGTTTTCCATAAGTGTACCTGAATTATGTCCACTTACAAATGAATACTTTTGGTCAAATTTTTTATATAAATATTGAAAAATCTTTACATGTAATTTAAGTAAAATCAAAAATGTCAAATAATTAATTGTTGATTCTTTGAATAATTACAAATTAGTATTTTTTAAGATAGCTAAAAATTTATCATTAATCTTATCAAATCTATTTTCAAATTTGGTTCTAATCTAGAAATAAAACAAAATAAATTTATAAAAAAAAAATCTTTCGCAAAATTTTTCAAATCTCCTTTGTAAATTACTAAAATATAGTCGCTTACTTTGCCTGGACAGTTGCTGTAATTTTTGATTCTTTGAACTGTACATGTTTTGGCGAATCAATCGTCACTTCGAAATTTGGTAGAACGTATTCCGCAACTTCAAATTCCTTTTCAAACGTCTGATCACCTACATTAGCAATGAGTTTCCACTTGCCTAAGACTGGCGACTGCGATAATTCTAATTCACTGCCGAAGATACCGTGAGTAACTGGTGGTCGATTCCATTGTTTGATACGATTACCATCGCCATCCTGCAATAATTTTTTTCTTAACTTATTTTATTTGATGTTATTTATTTTCAAGCAAAATTTGTTCATTGTCCTAAATATCAAAATTAACGCAACATGTACACTAAACTTCGTGCATTAATACATCCACACACATACACATACACACACACACACGCGCGCGCGCGCGCGCGCACGCACGCATATGCACGGAGAGAGCAAGAGAGGAAGGGAGCTAAGGAGGGCGAAG